AAGCCCCATTAATAAAAATACCATCATTGATTTTTTCCTGTCTTTGGCTCACACTTATTAAAACTTTCCACAGAATAAGTATTGTGTTAATGGCTCTGTGTGCCTCATCTCACTGGTCAGTTCTAGCAAACCTAGGCGGTGGGCACTATTAGTGTGCCCATTCTACAGATGGGCACACTGAGGAATGATGAGGGTATGGAACTTGCTAGGGATACAAACCCAGACCTGCTGGACTCAGGATGTCCTGGTTGGCACCTTACAGAGCAAGCCCATTCTGTGTGGGTGGAGCGTGAAGTCCAGGTATGAAAGCAGCTAAGATGGAAGCCCTGAAGATGAGTCAGAGCCAACCTTGAAGGGATCCTTTGAGGATGGTGACAGCAAAGACCCAGATGCACACACCTCCTGGGTGGGTAGAATCAGAAACAGGGCAGCCAGGAGCAGAGGGACTTGGGAATGCTTCTTTGGGGAGGGGCAGGAGAACAGCCAGGATGAATGAGGAGATAGATCATGACATGTCTGTTTACTGAGTGAATGAAGGAAGGCAATCCCAGCACAGATTCTCACCCCATGGAAGGGACTTGGGTGTCTCCCAGGTCCTGGAGGCTGACAGGAGGCTGATCTTTTAACCTCCTCCCAATTCCAGCTGTGGAGTCAGGCCACCTCTGACTAGGCAAGTTGTGGTCCGAGGCAAGTTGTACGAGCCCCAGTTTTCCTCATCTGTAAAATGACTTGCTATGAGGATTAAAGAGGCCAATGAGCACAAAAGTCCTCAACAATTGCTTGCAGAACGCTGGGTAAATGGTGCTTCTTGTTGATATTATTAGTTGTGAGGCCAACTCATCCTTATATGAGTTTGCTAATTTGTACACAAAATTCATTCATCAAATATTTATGGAGCCTTTAAAACACTGAGTGGCCTGGCCAAATGCCACGAGGCACAGCACACAGGAAAATCTAGAACTGAATCTACTCTACCATGATCTTGCATGTGTTGTTCCCTCCACCTAGAGCAACACCTTCCTTCTTCTTAGTGCTCCCTCATCTTCTGAGACCAAACAGTTGGTGGTGGGGATATCAGGGCAAGCTTCCCAGAGGAAAAGAACACTGGATGCCCCCTCCCAGACTCCCTCAGCCCTTCCCTTTCCTTCCCACTCTGACCCCACCAATATGAGGCCAGAAGTAGGGCCGGATTTTTAGAGCCAGGAACAGTGTCTAGCACATAGTAGGGGCTCAATTAATGCTTACTGAGTAAATATATGAATGACTGCATGAAGGAACCAGGTGGTCCTTGTTATTTGCGGCCTCAGGACTCTGCTAAGACCTAGCAAGCGAATTGGTGGTGGTGGGAACAATGGATTCCACATAAAGAAAGAAATGAGAGGAGGCAGAGGCAAGGCGGTCTCCCATGTGTTGGTGTGAGGTAAGTAAGCTTGCATTTATGTAAGCTTGCATGTATATTTGCTTGTGTTGCCAGGGCAGGCAGGTGTGTGTACGTGTGTGTGTGTGCATGCATGAAGGACATGTGCTCATGTGCAGTATCTGAATGCAGGTGAGGGTCTGCATGTATGTGCTGGGGAATAGGATGTGACTGTATGTGGAACATGCTAATATGTGTGAGCTTAGGTACGTGTGGGCTTGTAGGTGATGTGTCACGTTCAAACACACGTTGGTGTGTATGTGTGATGCGGTTTTTTTCAGTGTGCAGATGATGTTTTATTGAGTTGTATACTTGAAACCTGTATGTTTTTGTGAACCAATGTCACCCTAATAAGTTCAATAAAAATAAAAAGGGGAAAAATCTGTTTCAATTTCTGGGTTCAAATATTATCACAGAGAAGCATTTTAGTATGATGAGAAGTCTGGGTTTTTTCATCATTACTTTAAAATTTATTGTTGGCAGTATTACAGATTGTGTGATGCAGTTTTATGGCATGTGTATTTTTTTATTTGCATGCATGTACACACTCCTGTGAAGCTATATACATAAGCATGTTTCTGCATGCGTCATCATTCACCTGTGCAAAGGAGCTGCTTTGAGTGTCCAGGCAAGTGCTTTCATGTTTGTACACACATAGCTTGGCATGTGCTTATGTGTATACATATGTGTTTCTTAGAGATTTGGGATCCTAGCATGTATGTATGGGTACATACCTGTATTTTAGGGCATGAGCAGATTTTTATGAAACAGGGATATTGTGAACACACATCAAACACACGTGGATCCGTGTGTGTACATATACAGACACACACTCATATTGCAGGGACCATGTCTGTGGAGCCAGACTGTGTCCTGTATACAGGTACACTATGTGCATGTGTCAACATGGTCATGTGAATGTGCACATTTGTCCATGTGTGCAGGCACAGGCATGTGGTTTTCATGGAGCCTTGCTGGATCCTGAGCCTTTCTGTGCACACAGGGCAAGTCTGGGTATGAAGGTGCCAGCTCATGTGTGCACAGGTATGGGTGCATGTGGGTGTCCCCTGGGTGGGTGGTCAGGTATTTCCTCAACTCCAAGGCTGAGCTCAGACCCATGGAAAGCCCTCCCAGCCCAGCTCCCCTGCTGTACTCTGTCCTCTCTCCCCCCATTCTCCCCTTCCACTGTCGCCAGTTCACCCCCACTGCGCCCAGCATTTCCCTCACTTCCCACTTCTCCCGGTTTCTCCCTCAGCCTCTCCCAGCATCATACTGCTCCCCTTACACCTCAGGGTTGTCCCCAGCCTTGCCCCTCCCAGCGACCCCCACCCCCACTCTGCTAGTGACTCCCTCCCAGTAAGTTCCCCAGTGTCGTCCAACACAATTGTTCCCCCAGACACCCATTTCAGGAAGCCTCGCCCTTCTTCTGCTTACTGCCCCCCTTCACACCACCCCCGCAGCCCAGCCTCCTGTTTGCGTCAGAGTTAAGGATGAGACGCTCCCCTCCCTAACCAGGCAAACCTTCCAGAAGAACCCAGCTCGGAGGATGTGAGGCAGAGGTGGGAAGAGCAAAAAGTCAGCCAGGAACAACCACCGAGGCTCCCCGCGCCAGTGCCAGCCCACCCAACGCCTCACCCCACTCCACCTCCCCTACGTGCAAGGCAACTTAGAAAAGGGAGGGGCCGGGAGGGGCCTCTGAGGCCTCGTCTGTGGAAGTGGCATGGGGGGGGGGGGTCGCCTCCACCTCTCCACTCCCCCAACTCCATAGGCCAAGAGCGGATGAGTAGACTTTTGATCCTGTGGGCCCGTCTGCCACCCAGCCCCGCCTGCGGGAGCGAGCTCAGGGAAGGGAGGCCCGTGTCTCTTTAAGAACACCAGCGTCCCCGCCAGCCCAGCCCGGCGCGCTCTGCACACGGAAAGCACCGCGGCGGGGAGCAGGAGGGCGGGGCTGGGTTTGTGAATGGAAAGGCCGAGGGGGAGGTGTGGGAGGGGGAGGGGGAGGGGGAGGGGCGGCGGGGACCATTCCGGGCTCCCGGGCCTGCCCCCCCAGCCCCCGCCCGCCCGCCCGCCCCGCGTCTAGGCCGACACACTCACACACACACACACACACACACACACGCACACGCACACGCACACGCACACTCTCCCCGCTGCCTAAGGGCTCCCGAAGCCTGGCATCTCAGACTTGGCTGACACACCTCTTCCCCCACCCCAGCCTTCCTGAAGGGAGTAGGGGTTGGGGAGGCGGACCCCGTCCCAATACCCAAGGTCGAGACCTCCAGAAGCCTGGTGGTGCCCAAGGTCCCCCAAAGCCCGAGTTCTCAGCAGGGGTGCCCGGGACGCCTGGGTCCTGGAGGGCTGGCTTCCCGCCCCCCCCCCCCCAGCCCAACCCTTGAGGTGGGGACCGCCTGGCCCCTCCCGCGTCCTCCCTCCGCCAACCCGGTGCAGAGCATAGCCTGGGCGTGGGCCTCGGTATACAGATGGCGTTCCGGCCCCAAAATAGCTTCACCCACCTCTCTTTCCCTCCCTTATGCACAAAATGGATGAGGTGAGGACGGGCCGGGAGGGGTGCAGGGGGGCACCGTACCTCCCAGAGGTCGGCTCCCTGCAGAGAAGGCCCTCCACGCGTGTTGAAGCGCGAGAGGGTCGGGGAGCCGGGAGGCCCTCAGCCCCTTCCCCCAGCCCCCAGTTCGGGAAGCCAGAGTTAACTGAAAAAGCGCCCCAGGAGCCCAATCACGGACGGCTCAGGGCGTGGGAGGGGTCTCCCCAGCCCCTTCCCAGCCCTCTCCACCGCCAGGGCTGCGGGATTCCTCGAGCTCGCGCTTGTCCCAGGACTGAGCCTCTTACCCAAATCTCACGCGCCCGAGGGTGGAGACCCTCCTCTGCACTCCTCTTCCAGTTCCGCACTCAGCCCGCGTGGGTCTGGAACCGCCGCCGTGCCCACAGCACAGGACTCCTTCCTAGCGCCCCGTAGGGTCCATTCCAGCTCCCAGGTCAGCCCCTTCCTCGGGGCCCCCTCATAGCCTGTCCTGCACAGACGCCCGGTCTAGACCGTCCCAGATGGAGCCCTAGATCCCTGCTGGCGCGCACACCGGCCTCCGCGTGCAGCCGTGGCCACACGACCCCCAGCAGCGGCGTCTGCCCTGACCCGGCGCCCCGACGCGCCGACGGGGGCTACCTCTGCAGAAGCCCCGCCGCCTGCATCCCGTTCGGCGCCCCTCCCCGCCGGGGTCCAGCCGCATCCACACGGACCCCGAAGCCAATGGGGTCCCCACTGGCCACCGCCCCGCAGCCTGGCCTCCTACCTCCAACGCAAAGTAGCGACATGTCTGCGGGGTCGCCGGCGGGCCGGCTCCGTCAGGTCGGGCTCAGCGGCCGCTGGGCTGGTGCATGGCGGGGCTGCCGCCCGCGCTCGGCTCACGCCGGGGCCCGGCCTCCGCCGCCGGCCATCTTGCTTCAGCACCGGGGGCGCGGACAGCGCCTGACGTGCGGCTGACGCGAGGCGGCGGGCGGGGCCGGGGACGCCTGATCGCGGCGGCGGGGGTGGAGGGGTGGGGTGAGCGGGGGAGGGGGGCTTTAAAGGGCCTGAGCCGGGCTGGGGCTCCCCAAACAGAGTGATTGAGGGCGGCCGCCTCCACGCAGGTTCCCTCCTGGTTCTCGTGTCTCCCGGAATCGTTCTGTGGGTTTGCTGCCCCTATTCGCCCTGAGTATCTCTATTCCTCTGTCTACGTCGCTGTCTCTGCCTCTGTTTTTCTATTTCTTGGTCTCCCTGGGTCTCTCTGTTTCTCCGAATCGTTGTCTCCATGTCTTTCTCCATCATGGTCTCCCTCTGAGCTTCTTTCTGTCGAGTCTCTGTGTCTCTGCCGCGGCCTAAGTCTCCCTCTGTGTGTCTGTTTCACTCTCTTTAAGCCGCTCAGCCCGTGGATCTGTGCATACGCTCGGACTGGATCCCATCCTCACTCCCTTGTACAACTGGAAAACTCCTATTCATCCATCAGTGGTGAGTTCGAACATACCTCCACCAGGAAGCCTTCCCTGATTCGCCCAAACTGAGCCTTTACTTTCTGGATGACCCCAGACCCCAGCTTCTCCTGGTTGGGTCCTGTCCCTGGCACAGCTCTGATCACCACCCCTCCCTACACATCTCGCTGGGCAGTTCCATGTAGGTCAGTGCCACCCGAAAACCTGTTTACTGTGTATTTCCTGTGCCTAGAACAGTGCCAGAGGTCGTGGGTGCAACATGCATTTTTCACTGCCATATAGTACTCATTCGAATAAGCACACCATTGATTACTCACTATTCAGTTGGTGGACATTAAAATTTCACTTTGGGTTTATTACAACCAAAGAATTTAGGACCATTCTCAGAAATACAGGCTGGTGAACATGGGTAAAGGTGGCTGATCATAGGACACCCACATGCACAGCTTCACAAGATAACATCCAATTGCTTTTCCATGTTGCTCCAGCAGTTTACATCGAACCACCACCATGTAAGATTCGGTTGCTACACGTTCTTGTGAACACTTTGAATTGTCCAGGTTTTTTAATTGTGCCGAAGTGGGAGAGGTGAAGTGGTACTTCTTTTTGGTTTTGATTTGCTCTCTGATTGTTCATGAGGTGTAACTTTATATGTAATTATTGGTTTCTTCTTAGGGTGAAATAAATGCTTGTCCAAGTATTTCATCCATTTTTAAATTTTGACCCCTTTTCTATTTTTTTTTTGGGGGGGGGGTAATTCTTTATACATATTAGATACAAATCCTTGGTTGGTTTCATGTGTTGTAAAAATTCTTCAACTTTGGGGCTTTTTTTCATTCTATTAATGTGTCATTTTCTGAACAGCAGCTCTTAACTTTTTTAAATCCTCACCCAAGGATATGCTTTCTTTTTGTTTTTAGAGAGAGGGGGAGGGAGAGAGAAACATCTATGTGAAAGAGAAACATTGATTGATTGCCTCCCATTGGTGTTCCTACCAGGGATCGTACTTCCAACCTAGGTATGTGCCCTGACCAGGAGTCGAACCTGCAATTTTTTTTGGTGTATGGGACAATGCTCCAGCCAACTGAGCCACCTGGCCAGGGCAGAAGCTCTTCATTTTTCAAAAAGTGATTTTATTGCCCAGCTGGTGTTGCTCAATGGTTGAGGGTTGACCCATGAACTAGGTTCGATTCCTAGTCAGGGCACATGCCGGGTTGCAGACTCGATCCTCAGTGTGGGGCATGCAGGAGGCAGCTTATCAATGATACTCCCTCATCATTGATGCTTCTACCTCTCTCTATCTTCCCCCTCCCTTCTTCTCTGAAATCAATAAAGACATATTTTTAAATGTTTTTATTCATTTTTAGAGAGAGAGGAAGGGAGTGGGATAGAGAGACAGAAACATCAATGACAGAGAAACATCATTGATTGGCTACCTCCTGCACGCTCCCCAATAGGAATCGAGCCTGCAGTCCAGGTATGTGCCCTGACTGGAATCAAACCAGTGATCTCTTGCTTCCTGGGTCAAAGCTCAACCACTGTGCCACACCAGCTGGGCAGAAGCTATTAATTTTTAAAATAATTTTTTTATTGTGGGAAAATTTGAGATATACAGCAAAGTTACAGAGTTGCAGAACTGTAAAGGGATAGAACACGCCTATAAACCCCCTTACATGAGGGTTATATGTATCTATGTAAAGATGAAAACATTAGCATACGCACTTATTATTAACTAAATAGCAGATTTTACATTTCACCAGTGTTTCATCTCTCTAGTCCAGGATCCGGTCCAGATCCTACATTGCATTTAGTCATCTTATCTTCTTGTCCCCACCTTTTGTTTCCTTATTTTTCTGTGTTTCCTTCTTTTTCATCCCCTGAACACTTTGAAGATACTGGTCAGGTATTTGTGGGAAGTTCCTTAATTTGGGTTTATCTGTTATCTCGTTATTAGATTGAGGTTATAAAGTTTGAGGGGAAGATCACAGAGATGGGGTTCCCTCCTTGTCACATCAAACCAGAGGTCCCTGGTGCCCACAGGTGATGTTAACTTTGATCACCTGGGCAAAGTGCTGCCTCCCAGGTTCATCTAACGTAAGTTACTATTTTTTCCCTTGCCCTACCCTGTTCCTTGTTAGCAAATTGCTAAACTCAAGGAGAAGGAATTGTGCTCCACCTCCTAGAGTGGGAGTTTTTACAAAGCTCTTAATTTAATTTTTTTTAAGAATTTTTTTTTATTGATTTCAGAGAGGAAGGGAGAGGGAGAGAGAGACAGAAACATCAATGACAAGAGAGAATCATTGATTGGTTGCCTCCTGCATGCAACCCAGGCATGTACCCTTGACCGGAATCGAACCTGGGACCATTCAGTTCGCAGGCCAATGCTCTATCCACTGAGCCAAACCTGTTAGGGCTCTTAATTTAATTTTTTATTGCTGTAAAATGCACACAACAAAATTGACCATTTTAACGATTTTATTATTTTTTTTAATCTTTCCCTCTGAGGATATTTTTTCCATTCATTTTTAGAGAGAGTGGAAGGGAGAGAGGAGGTGAGAGAGAGAGAGAGAAACATCGTTGTATCTCACACTTGGCCCAGCTGGGCCTGGGAACGAACCTGCAACCCACGTACATGCCCAGGGATAGAACCTGCGACCTTTCGGTGCTCAGGCCGATGCTCTACCACTGAGCCACACTGACCAGGGCCATTGTAACCATTTTAAAGTATACAATTCAGTGGTATTTAGTACATTTACAATATCGTGTAACCACCACTTGTATGTAGTACTAAAACATTTCCATCACCCCAGAAGGAAGACCTGTCCCCATGAATAGCCACTCCCCATCCCTTCTCCCCCAGTCCCTGGGCACTGCTAATCTGCTTTCCGTCTCTGGATTTATGTTAAATCTTTTCCTTTGCTGTACTCACACGGTGTCTTGTTCAAGGAATTCTTTTTCTTTTTTTTTTAATATATTTTATTGATTTTTTTACAGAGAGAAAGGGAGAGAGATAGAGAGTTAGAAACATTGATGAGAGAGAAACATTGATCAGCTGCCTCCTGCACATCTCCCACTAGGGATGTGCCCGCAACCCAGGTACATGCCCTTGACCGGAATCGAACCCGGGACCCTTCAGTCCGCAGGCCGACGCTCTATCCACTGAGCCAAACCGGTTTTGGCTTGTTCAAGGAATTCTTGTTTGTCCCAACTTCATCAAGATATTCTCATAGCATGTTTAGAGTTTTGTTATTTACAGTCAAGTCTTGGCCTCTTTGGGGACTGACTGGGGAGTGTGGAGTGTGATAAAGTCAAATCGCATATTTTTTCCATGTGGACAACCCATCATCCCAATACCTTTAAAGGAAGTTGTCGCACATGCATACTTAATAGTGAACAGACCAGTTGTTAAGTCCACGGGCCAGTGCTGTACCCACTGAGCCAAGCCGCCTGGGGCACGATTACATTTTTTAATCGGTAAGTTGCAGGAGCATAGAATGCAGTTGGGTTCAGCATCTAAGAAGCTTTCTCAGTTTTTGTAAATCTGGTACATAATTATATTTGCAGATCCTTTGGGGTTTGCATTGTCTCCAGTGATATCATCTGTAAACAAAAACACTTTCTTTTTTTCTCTCTCTCCAGTCTTTGAACCACTCATTGTTTTTTTCCTGTCTTCTTGCACCAGCCAGGGCCATCAGTACGATCCCAGACACCATGACAACAGGCACCCTTGCTTTGTTCCCATCTTAAAAAGAGCATTTCAGTATTCACCGTTACATATGATAGCTGGTGTAGGTTTTATTAGAAAATCAAGTTAAGGAGGTCCACTTCTATTTCCAGTTTGCTAAGATTTTTTTTTCCTTTTATCAAGCATAAGTGGTGAATTTTAGCAAATGCATTTTCTGCATCGTTGGGACACCTAAATAACATTTCCTCTTTAATCTGTTAAGGTGAATTACATCTCTCACTATGCTTAACACACATTGGTCTCTGTTATTCTCTGTCTCTCTTATCCACACCTCAGCTCCCTCCTGCCAAAGCCCTTGATAAATTGATCACTCGGATCCAATTAATTTTAAAGTGCCAGTGCCCCATTTTACTCCTGTCAACAGCTCACCTTATTTCAAAACTATTTATTTGAGCTCTCTCGTCTCTCCGCACGATCATGCCATGCTGTCTCGATCTTTCCCTTGCATTCCCTTCTCGTGGGTCCCTCTTTCCCTTGCTCTCCACACTATGCATCTACATTCATATCTTTAGCAAACTCTCTCAGACTCTCTGACTTCCCATCTCTTTTCTCTCTTGGCTTCTGATGTCTTGCTCTCCCGCCACCATCTTATTAAATCCACAGAGAAAACATCATTGAAAGATAAGTGATGGGAAATGGTGCACAACGGACGAAAAGTACAACACACATGCAGAGAGAGAGAAATACCACCCCCCCCCACCCCCCGCACCCCCTACCCCTCCACACACCCCCCGCCATCACATGCACAAACTCTCCTCCCAGATGTCTGAGCTCCTGGTCATCCCCAGAGACCGCACTCTTATCCAAATTTGCCCATCCGCTGTACAAGAACAGCCATGGAGACATCTGGGCTTCAGACAAGAAGGTTTCTTTCCACAGCATCTGCCGAGCTCAGCTTTGTAATGGAGAATGAGCAGAGCTTCGAGAAGTCTCAACCCAGGGCCATCCTGCTTGGTCTTCAAGTAAGTTCCTAATCTTTCCTGGGTGTGTTTGCTGTTTCTGGCACCGTGCAAGGCTCCACAGAAGGGACAGACATGAATCAGATGTCCATCAATTTGTTCAGCAAACGTTTGTTGGGGTCAGAGTGTAGACAGAGGGTAAAGGGCCACCGGGCTTCCAGGGCCCAGACTAAGACATCAAACCCAGGGTCCGCCCTCCACGTGTTTGTTCACCCACCCCCGCCCCAACTCTAGTTGCTGTTACCCAGCAGCAAGTGATGGTGAGCACAGGGAACAGAATTCAGAGCCCTCGGGAGTGCCGTATGCTCTCCTCCTCTTCTGGCCTTCTCCTCCTTGTCAATGGCCTTGCCCTGGATGCTGGGTGGGGTGGGGGTGGGGGAGTACTGAGAGGAAGTAGGACTTGAAGATCTCTGGACTGGAGAGGGGAAGAGTGCGGGAAGCCAATTCCAGCATGACAGCCGGGCTGAATCTGGAGTGGCTGAAGGGCATTTCCCCAAACCTGAAAGGGATGCATGAATTGCTTGCTTGCTGCCAGACAGCTCAGGGCATCTTAATCTACGTGTTATTGCCTCCTACTGGCCAAACACCTGAACAGCCATAGGCTAATTCTTCCAATCTGACAATGGACTCTGTATATGAAACCTGACCCTTTGAAGTGTACATCTCCACCTCACCTCAGGACAATTTGTGTTAATGAAAAGCATGGGGTCCTGAGATGAGGAGATCTTCGTTTCTTTAGCTAGGCTCCTCTGACCCCCAAATGCCTTTCAAAATTATGCTTCGTCTCTGGACTCCTTATTAAGTTATGCACAGCCCCTCCTCCAGATTGCTGAACCCTTCTAGACACTGGAACAAGAACCCCAGCAGAAGAGTGCTCATGTGGTTCCTGAAGGCCTACTGTGTGCTTGGCAGTATGCGGAGTGACTGACATGTGCTATCTCCTTTAAACTCAACCTCTAAGGTCAGGGCTGGGGCAAAGAAAAGGAGAAGGACTGGGAGGTGGTGGAGGAGGCTCTGATTGGGATGTTGGGAAAGGATTCCAGGAAGAAAGAAGCTGGAGAGTGAGGAGGTTTGGTAAGCATGGTGGGCTTGGGGGAAGGGCATTCCTGGCAGAAGGCATGGCAAGGGCAAATGCCATGCTGGACGTCCTGATCAGCCTAGCTGTTGCCCTCAGGCCCACAGTGACAAAGAGAAATCAGTGAAGACAATCTTGGTTTATCGCCTATAAAGTGGGGAAAAAAAAAAATATTGTTTCCTGGAGAACTAATGGTCCGAGGGCAGTGCCGACCCCTTGCAAAGTTTGGGACCTGACCTGCAGGCCTGGAGAAAGTAAAGCAGTTGGGTTGGCCTGGGGAGGGCTGGTAATAAAAGAGAGCAATTGGATTGGCCAGGAGGATGAGATGGGGCGAGGTCTGTAAGGGGGCAGGGGGGTGGGGGGATAGGTCCAGAATGATTGGGATAGGAGCTCCAGGCTCAAAGGTGGGGTCTCAGCCCACAGTCCCCAGAGTGACTAGCAGGGACAGCACTGGGCCAGTGGGCGATCCTATGGCTGGGGATGGCCTGGAGGCAGGGATCCTCCGGAAGCAAATTAACTCATTTAAAAAATGCAGGTCCTGTGCCAGACCCTGGTCAGAACTCTACAAATATTCACTTGCTTAATCCCCATAATCAATTTTACCTAGGGTGGGATTATCCTGGTATTTTTATTTGTTAATTGTTGTATCCAGAAGTGGATACAACTATAACTCCACTTTTGCACCCACCCTGTAGATAGGGAGATTGAGAATAAAAACATTAAGTCAGGCACCCAGGTCACACGGGAGGCAAATGTCAGAGCTGAGATTCAAACCCAGGCAGCCCAGCTGGGCCCCTTAACCCCTACATTCTACTGGCTCTCATTCTCCCAAATCTCCTAAAATGATAGTTTTCAAAAACAAAAAAGCAAGGCCTCCCTCACAATTATTGAGATCTTGCTATGTACCTTTTATGCCATCTCTCCAAGCATGTACAGCACAATCATTTCCATTTTACAAATGAAATGGAACCAGTGCGTTTGCTGTTTCTGGCACCGTGCAAGGCTTACTAATTTCCATTTTACAAATGAAATTAGTAAGGCATAATTATGGGGACTAGCCATAATTATAAGAAACTAGAGGCCCGGCACAATAAATTACAAAGATGTGACACTGGGAGCCAAGGTGGTGCTATATCCAAGTGAGAATCCCAGGAACATGTGAGACTCATCTACCATTAAGCCTGAGTGACCTCATGAGGGTGGCCAGTGGGAGCCCCAAGCCTCTGCTCTCTCCGACCTCCAGACCCTTGGTGCCACCACTGCCCCTGGCCAAGCTCCTCAGTGTCCCCCAACTCAGGGCTGCGCCTTCATTCATGCCACCCCTCTGAGTCCTCCTTTATCACCCTAGACCAGTGGTCGGCAAACTGCGGCTCGTGAGCCACATGTGGCTCTTTGGCCCCTTGAGTGTGGCTCTTCCACAAAATACCACGTGTGGGCGCACACGTACAGTGCGATTGAAACTTCGTGGCCCATGCGCAGAAGTCGGTATTTTGTGGAAGAGCCACACTCAAGGGGCCAAAGAGCCGCATGTGGCTTGAGCCGCAGTTTGCCGACCACTGCCCTAGACTGACTGGAGATATCATGGACTCACACCCAGCCTGATGAGAGGGCTGAGAACCTTCACACAGGGCCTCCATGATGTTACCTTTGACAGGAGGGAAACCGACAGATCGGAGAAGCCAAGGCATTTGCCCAAACTGAGCAGGCAGTAAGAGGCACAGCTACACTTGAACCGCCTCTCATGCCTCCAGGAATACCATTAAGTCACTGACAAGCAAGGCGGCGTGAGCCCGTTGGTGTCTGGGGATCCCAAGCACCCCAGGGTCTTGTAAAAAATGTTTGAGTCCTGACCGGCGTGGTGCAGTTGGCTGGGCATCGTCCTGTGCACCGAAAGGTCACTGGTTCAATTCCTGGCCAGGGCACATACCCAGCTTTCCGGTTCAATCCCAGTTGTGTTTCTCTCTCAATCCCTACCCTTCCTCTCTTTCTAAAATCAATAAAAACATATTTTTAAAAAACACAGACATTTGAGAACCCAAGATACGTACACACTTTGGCTCCAGAATGCAAAAGGAGGACAATGTCCAGGTGAATCCATGTTTAATTACATTCAGGAGCAGGCTGTCAGCTTTGGCGGGATTAACACCATTGCATCTAGAAACAGGCCAGACATCTACTCAAGAGAGTTACCTGTGGCCAGTTGATTTCTAAAACAAAATTATAAATTACAAGAATACCTAACTGGTGAGCAGTTAGTGTTAGGGGCAGAAATAGAATTGTGGGGACTAGCCATAATTATAAGAAACTAGAGGCCCGGCACACGAATTTGTGCACGGGTGGGGTCAGGCAGGCCCGCCCTGATGAAGGCCTATCAGTGCCTGGCAGGGGCGGGGGGACAGGGGGGAATGGGGACGTAGGAGGTTGGCCAACCAGCCCTGCCCCCAATCATGGGGGGCAGGGGGAGGCGACCTGGGGCAGGTTGGCCAGGGGAGGGGCCACAGGTGGTTGGAGGTGCCAACCCATTGATTGGGCCTGATTGGGCTGGTTGGCCGCCACAGTGCACGTCATAGAGACCGGTTGTTCAGGTCGCTTGGCTTTTATATATATAGATATTAATCATGCTCTGTTAACCATGATTTCTGTTCTGATTAGAGGAAGCACATTCTAACTTGGCTGAGAGTTCTACGCCCCAGGACATGGGAATTAACACCGAATGCAGTCCATCCTCCTTTTCCAAGAACTGTACAATCTGGTCCTAGAGGTGCCTGCTCTTTGCAACACCCCCCCACCACCCCCACCAAGCTCACATTGCCTGTAACCTATAACCGTTATACCTCACCTACTTCCCCGCGCCTGTAATTCCTGCCTTCCCATGTAATCTTTTGTCCTTCTACCCAATATAGGCAGCTGGTTTATGGGGAGGAGTAGAGCAGATTTTTGTGGGTGACCCGCTGTTCTTGCATACTGCTGGCACTATTGGAATAAATGCTCGAATATGCGTCAACCCTGTCTCTGCTTAATTGGCTCAAGTTGTGACAGGCAGCCGGGGCCCAGTGGTTGTCTGGTTTCATTAGCACCTACAGGGGCTGGTTCATGCTCAGCGCGCTTTTAATTCGGGTAAACCCCACAGCAACCCTAAGTGGAGGCTGTTCAAGCGACGGAGAAACTGAGGCACTGGGAGATCGCACAGCTGGAGAGAGACCCCAGCTCGGGTTTGAACCCCTGTGTAGTCCTTAACCTTGTGTTTTACAGCCGGGACATCAGTGCGATGGGAGATGGGGGTACAGTGGTGGCTTCTGGCTTGCTTTTCCGGTTTGGATGTCGGGAAATGGCACTCCCTAAGGCAGTGATGGCGAACTTTTTGAGCTCGGCGTGTCAGCATTTTGAAAAACCCTAACTTAACTCTGGGGCCGTGTCACATATAAAAATTTTTTTGATATTTGCAACCATAGTAAAACAAAGACTTATATTTTTGATATTTATTTTATATATTTAAATGCCATTTAAGAAAAAATCAACCTAAAAAATGAGTTCGCGTGCCACCTCTGACAGGCGTGTCATAGGTTCGCCATCACTGCCCTAAGGGTACAAATCTGGACGAGGGTGGGAGGCCGGGTTGGGTCGGGATCCATCTCGGTCTCCTCCAATCTCCACCCCAGGCAGGTCGTCTAAAGCTCAGGACCCAGGAAGGGATGCAATTCCTCCTCTGACCACGCCCCCGTGACCGCCTCTGATTGGACCAGCTGGCGGCCAATGAGAGGGCGCCTATCGAAAACTCTGCCCCCAGGGCCTTCTCCGCGGTGGTTGCGCCCTCCCCCTCGCCCCCCACCTTCCTCGCCTCCCTCTCCAGACTAGGCCTCCCTCGGTCTTTAACTGCCTGGACCCAGCTCTCCAGCTGGCCTTTGCGCCCACTGCCAGAAACACGCCTTCCTCTCTCTTCTGGACAAAGCTGCTTTCTCTCCTGCTTTCAGCTGAAATGGCCCCTCCTCTGCCCTGGCCGGGTGCTCAGTTGGTTAGAGCGGGTCCCAATAAGCCAAGGCTGCGGGTTCATCTCCTGTCGGGGACATACAAGAATCAAACAATGAATGCACAAATAATTGGAACAACAAATCGATGTTTCTCCCTCTCTCAAAAAATTTTTTAAATTACATCTTTATTGTTGAAAGTATTACATATGTCCCCTTGCCCCCCATTAACCCTTTCTAGCCCGACACGCCCCCCCCCCAGCCTTCACTACCCTATTGTATGTGTCCATGGGTTATGCATATTTGCATATAAATTCTTTGGTTGATCACTTCCCACCCACCCACTCTCCCTCTGAGATTCCGCAGTCCATTCTGTCTCTGGATCTATTTTTGTTCATCAGTTCATTTTGTTCATTAGATTCCACATATGAGTGAGATCATGTGATACTTGTCTTTCTCTGACTGGCTTATTTTGCTTAGTATAATACTCTCCAGGTCCCTCCATGCTGTCTCAAAGGGTAAGATAACCTTTTTTACTGCTGCATAGTATTCCATGGTATAAATGTACCACAGTTTTTTAATCCACTCATCTACTGATGGGCACTTGGGCTGTTTCTAGATCTTAGCTATAATAAATTGTGTTGCTATGAACATAGGGGTACATACATTCTTTCTGATTGGTGGTTCTGGTTTCTTAGGATATATTCCTAGAAGTGGGATCACCAGGTCAAATGGCAGTTCCATATTTAATTTTTTGAGGAAACCCCATACTGTTTTCCATAGTGGCTGCACCACTCTGCATTCCCACCAGCAGTGCACTAGGGTTCCCTTTTCTCCACATCCTCACCAGCACTTGTCATTTGTTGATTTGTTGATGGTATCCATTCTGACAGGTGTGAGGTCGTTTTAACTTGCATCTCTCTGATGATCAGTGACTTTGAGAATTTTTTTCATATGTCTCTTGGCCATCTGTATGTCCTCTTTGGAGAAGTGTCTATTTAGGTCCTTTGCCCATTTTTAAATTGGATTGTTTGTCTCCCTTTTGTTAAGTTGTATGAATTCCTTGTATATTTTGAATATTAACCGTTCATCAGATGTATCATTGCCAAATATGTTTTCCCATATAGTGGCTCCCTTTTCCTTTTGTTGATGGTTTCTTTTGCTGTGCAGAAGCTTTTCATTTTGGTGTAGTCCCATTTGTTTATTTTCTCCTTAGTTTCCTTTGCCCTAGGAGATGTATCAGTAAACATATTGCTATGAGAGATGTCTGAGATTTTGCTGCCTATGGTTTCTTCTGGGATTTCTATGGTTTCATGACTTACTAAAAAAAAATTTTTTTAATGGTCCCTCCTCCTGCAAACCTGCCCTGACCTCCCAGGCTGGGTGGAGACCTCCCTCTGGGCCTCAGCGCCCCATGTTGTTGTTGTTGTTGTTGTTGTTGTTGTTGTTTCAGCGCCCCATGTTGTTGTTGTTGTTGTTGTTGTTGTTGTTTCAGCGCCCCATGTTGTTGTTGTTGTTGTTCTTCTTCTTCTTGTTGTTCTTCTTCTTCTTCTTCTTCTTCTTCTTCTTCTTCAAAGAGAAAGTTTATTTAGAAAGTCACAGAGGTAGAAGTATGCTATAGAAGAAATGAGCTAATGGGTAAATTTTCTGTTAAAAAAAAGAAGAAGAAAAGAAATGGGCTCAGGAAACAAGTTACAGAAGCAAAAGAAGGGCCGTTGGAGCTTAGGAAAGAGGAAGGTAAAGGACACACGTGTGTGTGTGGGGGGGGGTGGGGGGGTGCGAAGGGAAAGGCATGGGCTTGCTCCCCGGAGGGAGAGCGCATCCCGTGTTCTTTTCATACCCGTTTTCTTGTCTGTCTCCCAATCAGGCAGCAAGCTCCTGAGAAGCCATGACGGGGTCTCAGAAAACATTGTCTCCCCTATGCCTGGCACATAGGTGCTCAAGAGATATGTGTGGAGCGGAATGATTCACGAATTAATCTGGTGTCAAAGACTAGAGGACCCTCAGCCTCTGGAGAGGACCCCACACAGGGTCTGCCACACAATGGCTGCTCTACGGACGAATGTGGAAAGGAGGAGGGAAGGGACGCGCGTCATTTCTGAGAATGAGGTGCTCAATGGTGGCTCGTGGCACCACCTAACGGTCCGATGCAGCCCCCAAGGACAGAAACCGCTCTAGCCTGCCACCTCCTTGCCCACTCGGGGCCCATAGGCGGGGTTGGGGCGTGGCCTAAAGAAGAAAAAGGGGCGGAACTTGTGTCCTGAGCCTATTGGGCGTCCACAGTGCTCTTGTCCTATCCTCCCCGTGGGTGGAGCTTGACGGGCCCCTGAGCCAGTGGGGGAAGAGGGGCGGGAATCGCCGTTTCTGTGGATGTCTTTGCACTATTTGTGAGAGTATGGGAGGGGCTGAGGGCCCCCGAAGAGGACTGCATTTTATTTTTTTATTTATTTTATTGATTCTTTACAGAGACGATCAGCTGCCTCCTGCACATGCCCCACTGGGTATGTGCCTGCAACCAAGGTACATGCCCTTGACCAGAATGGAACCTGGGACCCTTGCTTCCGCAGGCGGACGCTCTATCCACTGAGCCAATCCGGTATGGCAAGAACTGCATTTCAAATACACAAATATAGCCTCGTTCCACTCACCCCTCGCACCACATCCTGACGATTTTACTGAATGAACTGATTGCAAGCCGGTGCCCACCCAGGCCAGGCCTCTCCCTCCGCCCTTAAGAGTGATGTTTAAGAGCCCAACCTCTAACACGGAGAGCATCTGGGTTCAAATCCAGGGTCTGATCTGCCTTGTGCTGTCTGTGTGATCCTGGGCACATGACTTACCCTCTGTAGTCCTCAGTTTCCGCACCTGTGCAATAGGATGGGTACTTACCTGCGTTAATCTTGTAAAATGCTTGAAACCAGCTCATCGTTGTATTTGCAATTCAGTGCTCATGCCCTCTCTGCTCCCCCACCTCCCATGGCTCCCCATGGCCCTTAGAGCAAAATCCACACCCTTTCCTGTGACCCAGGTGGCCCTGAATGGTCCAGCTCCGACTTCCCTGCATTTTCCCGTCGCACCGTGTAGCCGCTCAGCGGTCTTCTTGTCCTCAACCACGCCCAGCCTGACCTGGCTTCAGGGCCATTGCACATGCTGCTCCCTTCGCAGGTGAAGCTCTTGCTTTTCCAGATGCTCATCCTTGCACCGTACACAATTCCCCCTCCTCCTCCAGGTCTGACTCAAGTGCTGCTTTCCCTGGAAAGTCCTAGTTCCCTCCAGATCTGGTTGGGACGCCCCTATTACATTCCCGGGTCCCTGTTTATTTCAATTGCAAGGACCTCCAGCCACAGGCAACAAATTGAAGTTCTCTATCACCACGCCACCCAGTTTTCCTCCCATATATCTCACCTGCAGAAACGGAGGCTCCACTGCTGGGAGGAGGCGCGGAACAGGTCAGTGACAGGACAATGACATCTTGGCCTCATTCAACCCAAGCAGTATATTTCAAAGCAAAAACACTCAACATCAGCTCTGTCTGCTCTGGAATAGCAAATTGAAGCCACCTGCTCCTCCCAGGAGACCTTCTTCTGGTTGCTTGAAGATCCCCCCTGTTCCTCCATCCAGGAGCTCTCCAGCCCCTACCTTTCCTTCCATCCCATCCATGGCCCCTCGGAGAGTCTGTGTGTGGTTCTCCTAGGGACCAGGTTGGAGTGAGGTTGGCACAGAGAATTTGGTTGGGAAGTGTTTGTCAAGTTAATGAATGCATTATATGCCTACCGAACTACTGTGTACCCTTCGAAAGCCCAACCCCAACATCCCTTTTTAAGGATACCTTCCTTCTCTCCCCAGAGAGACCACCACTCCCCTACTCCCCATTCCTCCAGCTCCAGGACCCACTCTCTAGCCCAACCCTGACTTCACAGGCTGGGTGCTCCTGTGGCCAGCTCTTCTTCCTGCAAGCTGGGGTCTTCTTGGGGACCAGGACTTGGGTGTACAGGAAGATCGTCAGGAAGTGCTGAGTGAATGGAACA